AATCGGAGTTCACACGGGCCCTGTAGGCCACCGAGTGACTCCTCGCCACTTAGGACGTCTACACCTGCCACACCAAAAATGCCTTATAATGTACCTTAGGGGGACCAAGTAGTCATCAAACCTCCCCCCGACCAAGTGTTGTATACTTTCTTGCAATCAAAGCTTTCTTGCATCCAATGTCTACAATGCTTGTTTTAAAGATGTTTTCAACTGTTTTTCTCTCTCACGTTTTCTAAAACCAATTTTCTCCTAAAACGTGAGCGAAGGCTAGACCCACGACCGAGATTGTCCGCAACTTACAATTTTTCCCGGCTGACTTGCTCGTTTGAGCTAGAGCAAGTGCCGCACAATCGCTCGACCTGCTTTGAAAAGGTGCGATTGTGACACTTGGCGCCATTGAAATCACAATCTCTTGATTGAAGATATATGCTCGCTTTGACATTATAATTAGAGTTTTATTGAACAATACTTACGGTTCGACTGTGATTTATACACTTGATTGAACAATACTTAGAGTTCAACCATTTATACACTTCTTAATATTTAAGAGTTTAATTACAACAATTTATTAGTTTAAGAGACAATTAATTACAAACATTTCTTCAAACAGAATGAACAGAGATAGAATCAAACTGTAAGACGTCTTCGACTAAAAAGTTGTGAGTTAAAATTCAGACCTATCACTGTATATTTTGTACTAAAAACAAATGGTTGATGAAATTAAAAATTTGATGGTGCACTGTAACGTTTTTTATGGTTTATAGGTGATTTTTATAATTTTTCTAAATTTAAAAGTGGATGTTTGATAACTAATTAGTTTTTTGTGCGTTTGATTTTTTAGAAACAAGTTATAATTTTAGAAACATTTTTAAAATTACGAAGAATGTTTGAAAATGGAGAAAAGACCATTCTAAAAACAGTTTCAAAATTTTAAAATCATGATACTTTTTAGTGCAACAAATACTGAAAAATTGAGTGCCCATTTCTTAACGTTCTCGTTTCTTATTTATATTTCTTCATTCTTGATAAAGAAAAATAGAATTGCATTATCCAAACACCCATAAATTCGAGGATTATCAAACAATATTTATATTTATGTTTCACAACAAATTGGAAGTGAAAACAAGAAAGAAAATTGTTCCCAAAATTTTTATACAATTTTTAGAATGTTTCCGAAAAATGAGAGGCAAGAATTATAATTAGTTGCAAAATGCTTAACTTTCTTAATAAAATTTGAAAACGAAAAACAAGAAACAAAAATGTTCAGCCCTCAACTTTTGAATTTTTATAGTTCAACGATGAGAATTTGAACCTTTAAAATAAATAATATTTGAATCAATTGAACTATACAAATATCCATAATTTTTGTTAGTACAACATGTAAAGGTGAAAATTTGAACATTACGATCTTTTAGTCAGAGATAGGTAGGTGTCTAAACCAGTTGAACTAAATTCAAACTAGCTAGATATATCGATAATTGAATTTTCGATCTCAAAAAAAGTAATAAATGTTTTATCCACTTTCACTGAAAGAATCCAACCTTGTAACACTCCCCCTCTGCAAATTTATTTCTTTTTAATTTATTATACTTTAATTTTATTAAATAAATTACATTTGTCAAATTTTTTTTCCACATTAAAGCAAAGTCGTATAGCAATCTGTATTTTAATCACACTTAAAAAGGAAAAATTGCAAACTTAAAACTACAATGACCTATTCTCGAAAATTTACTTCCTTTTTCTAAAGTAATTTTCTCTATTAATTATTATTATTATTTTTTTTTAATACAACATGTAAGGGTAAGGGATCGAACTCACAACCTCTTAATTGTAGATACATGACAATTACCGCTTTGACCATTAATTATTATCTTATGAGTAAATTATTTTAAAATGCATGAGCCTGTCAAAAATCAACCAATATGTAGTCCTTAATAACACCGTCACAAATTATTAATAACATGGATTTGTTAAACACAAGATTCAAAATCCGAAGATCTGTTATAAACTTCTTAAAGTATGAGAACTAAAAAGACAGAACTTCAAAAGTTTAAAAACTAATCATAGACATTCAAAAGTTTAAAAACTAATCATAGACATTCTAAGGTGGACACACCTCTAAAAGTTTACCGAACTTATAATTTAACTTTATTTTTGTTAGGGAAGATAAGAACCTGATACATTGAAGATTTAAATAGGAACTTTTTGATTTTTAGACAAAGTTGAAAAATTAAAATGAGGGTAAAATCACTAGTTTTTGCATTGAGTTTGCTTTGTTTCATCCTCTATAGTTTTTGTATTTGATGAATAACATAACCTCAGTTTTGAAATCATTCATCAAAGAAATTCTCTCTCTAGCTTTGTTATTCACTGTCTTCACAATATCAAGAAAAGCAGGCATCACAAAATCCCCTGAACATCAAAAGTTTCTTAGCCAATGGGACGGAATAATAATGATAAAGAAAATTTTCTGTCGACAAGCTATTGAACTGAATTCAATATGTTGGGGTGGAAATTCAAAACTCTGGCCTATTGGTTAACTCAGCAGCCAGTGAGAGAGAAAAACCAAAGAGTGGCTGGCTAGAACTAGAAGTAGTGTGGCAAGGTTAAGTTGTTGATTAAGATTTCATCTTAGATTTCCCCAGATAGTTTATAAAAAAGCAGAGAAATTTGGAAGCAAAAAGATGGAGGAAGTTGGGAGAGATTGAAAAGATGAAGTTCTGTATAACTTGACTGTGATCGGAAAACACAGAGCCTTCCAAGTACTGAACCCGACCCACCTCCATTCTTCTAGCTTATACCATTTCAGCTGAGTAATACTAATACTGTGTATGACTTCATTTAATTAGAGAAGAAGGTGATCTGATAAGTTACCAAGTGGTAGAACTGGACCAAGTGCAAAAGAATGAATGATAAGTTACCAAGTGGTAGAACTGGACCAAGTGCAAAAGAATGAATGATAAGTTCCCAATTTTAAGAGGACTTTACTTAAATGATTTGATAACTCTGCTTCTATATGGGAAATCCTGTATAACATCAGAGAACTCTATATTTTATTCAGAAACTGAAAATGAATAACAGATGCACCAGTATAAAAGCTTAGCTGCATTATGCATTTTAAATGTAAATAGAGCTATGATAATTTAAGTTTTGGATGTGGTTCCTTCGTTCTTTCAGGATGCGTCGATGTATGCCCAGAAGAATTGGGGATCTCCTCCTTCCCCTTGACTTATTTAAGATGCAATGGTGTACACTGTATGCCTAAAGGTTTTGGGGTTCTGCATCTTGAAGCTTGTGGTGGCTTGAGTTCTGGTGCTAAGATCTCAGTCCTTTGATTGAAACTTCATTTAAGAAAAATGGAAGACCCTATGAAGCGAACTTTAGACACGTGTAAGGGTATTACCGGCGTGTTCATTCCGCCTCTAACTGGAGCTCTACAATCAGTCTTTGTCCAAAATGGTGTTCTTTGTGCAGAACCCAAGATTACCCTTTTTCGATCACTGTTCTCTCTGTTTTGTGGGAGCATATTACTTTTGTGGCTTTATCTTGGTATAAACTTACAAAACTTTTCGAAATTATGAGTATTGGAAGGTTTGGGTAACATCCTTAGCCCAAGTTGAGGCTCCCCTCCCTCTACCCCTTTGTATATTTCATACTTTCAATGAAATAGTTTATCCAAAAAAAGAGTCTCATATACACGATATTCTCAGATATGCATATAATACAATACATTAAAACAGTAGTTGAATGCATGAACCTATCAATCTTGTGAATGTCATCAAAGAAATTAGCCAGATACAGATTCCAGTAGCTATCGATAAACCTACTTAGAATTCACACTTCAAAGTAAAATTGCAGAGGTAAACTAAGCGTGTAAAATGGAAATTCTTATCCACATTTTCAAACTGTTCACGGTCAAGGAATGATGCATACTAATAAGCTTTCAACATTCTTGCTAACCTTCCCGTGTTATCCTCCTCGGAATGAAACGGAACTATATACACTCCAAGAAATCGTATATTGCAAATACTACTTCAAGCCTTGACTTGGGAAGCAGCCTTGATGGCTCTCTCCAACTCCGATTCAACTTCATTCGCTCGGTTTGTGGAACTATGCCCTTTCGATCCATTCTTTTCTCCCCCTCTCCTGTTGTTCTTACCCTCATTCTCTTCTTCAGTACTCTTCTTCTTCCTCCAATCATTTTCTTGTCCACCATTCCTTTTGTTCTTGGACTTGCTTTCTTCCCAGCCACTCCTGTTGCTCCTCCTCCATGGCTCCAACTCATCACCATAATTCAAACCAGAAGATGGTGCAGCCCCATTTCCCATACTTCCAAGTTTCATCTCCTCTAAAATTTGCTTCATCTCTCTGTTTTCTTTTTCCAAAGTTTCCACATCCTTTTTCATCCAAAACAACATGCCCTTCAACAACTCCACATCTCCCCCCTCCTCCGCTGTCTTCTTCTTCTCCTCCTTCTCCTCCTCCACTCTCTCAACAGAAATCTTATTCACAGTCAGAAATGGCATTTTCGTCACCGGATTCGTCGGGAAGTTCATCCCCCACCGGAAATTCACAGCCACCCGCCTGGTCACAGGAATGGCTGTCCTTGCCATTACAGCCACCCCGGAGAAAACACCATCTCTTATGCTTTTCGTCTCATCCAAATGTCTCTGAAAAATTCCTCCACTAGACTGAACTCCAAACTCCTCCTGAGAACCATGGCCGCTACTAGTCTCCAATTTCAGCTCCTGCCATCCCATCGACTCATCCACCGCAAACCCACTCCCAAATTTCGGATCCGAAGCAGACCCAGGATCCAACCGAACCCCATCGCTGGGCTGAAACGCAGAGAATTGATCGTTAGGGCTCGAAACGGTGCTCTTCCTGAGGCAGAAATTGCCGAATTGGGGCTTGAGGAGGAGAGAGAAAGAGGGAACAAAGGGTTTCGCGAGGGAGAGGGAAAATTGAGAGGAAAACACAAGAGGCGAGTCGTCCGGGGAGCCAAAAAGGCCAAGCCCAGACTTGAGAGAGAGAGTAAAAGGACCAGTCGAAGCGGTGGCGGCGGATGGAGAAGCCGCCATGGGAGAGTAAGTGAGCTTCAAACAAGGGCCGGAGAGGAAATTGGTGGAAAGGGAAAATGAAAGGTCGGAGGAGGAGGAGGAGCTAATGGCGGAAGTGAAAGAGGAAGTAAAGGGTTGATTGAACATGGTGATGGGGAGTTTCCCCTTTACGATTGGGTTCTTGTGGTCTTGATTATCGGGGAGCTTCAGAGAAAACTTCATGATTGAGGAGCAGAGGAAGAGAAGAATCGATGAATCGTGAGGAAGATGATGATTTTTCAGTGATTTTTCAGGGCTCTGTGTGTGGAGAAATTAGGAAGCCATGGGAAGGAAGTGAAGGAATGGTGGAAATTTTGATTTTTTCTTTTTTCTGTTAATAATTTTTCTTACTTTATCCGTTGCAGGTTCGACCGTTTAATTAGAGGATATTCTTTTTCTCTTTCCATTTTTTTAGGCGAAAATAACATTAAATTGTAATTCCAGCAATATTTTAAACTAATATTTTTTTTTAATTTTTAAAACTATTTTGTTGCTTTAAAATAATAGTTCTGATTTATTTCTCTTTCTTTCTCCCCTTTCTTTCTTGGAGTATATTGATCCGATGGATATGTTTGATTTTTGAAAAACTTATTATTCTAATATTTTCTGACCTTATCTATCGCACAAATTACTTTATGTGTCTCACTCGTTTATTTTAATTATAATGATAGCGGTAACAATAACGATAGCATTAAGAAATAGTGATAGCAATAGTCCGACAACCATTCCAAAATCGATAGAAATAAATTGTTTCTATAATTAAATTGAGCATTTTAATTTTGAAAGTAGAGGAAAAAGGAACAAACAGTCAGCTAAAAAAAAGGAATATTTTGATTTTGAGAGCAGGGAAAAAAAACAAACAGTTAGGATTTTGATTTTTGAGATTTTAATTTTGAGAGTAGAGAAAGAAAAGGAAAAATAAACAGTTAACAAAAGGAAAAATAAACGGAAGATTTTGATTTTGAAAGCATAAAAAATAGAAACAAACAATAAGGGAAAAAAAATTAAACTAAAAATTTTGATTCTGAGAAGGGAAAATAAAAAGGAAGAAAGACGACAAAAATATAACTTAAAAATTTTAATTTT